TACACGCTTCCCTTAACATCTATCTCCCTCTCGTTTTGCTCTGTTCAGAACGGATGTGGTCGGACAGGGATTACAGTCTCTCTCTGATCGTGTTGCTCCGCACTGATAATCTGGAAGTGGAGTGGGATGCTGGGATGTGTGCGGTGCCTGATGGATTAGTGCGCTTCCCTCCTCCTCCTCCCTCGGCAGAAGGACACAGGCCTTAAATCCAGGTTTTAGGCAGGAGGGAGGGATCAGGGCTTATGATGCAACAGGAGCCCCATCCATCACAACAAGCTGGAGGTGGGGTGCGGACTAAAGGCACTTTCTTTATGTCACCTGTGATTATTTTTGTGTAATAATTTTCAAATGCACAATTTTGAATAGTGGCCATTTTATTTCCAAGACTGGATAAAAAGGGAAAGACAAACTCCGCCAATGTCACCATCATTCATTCACCGGCAACATGGGAGAGTTCGGTTTCATCAAACCTTATATTTTACAAAATTTACATAAAAAGGATCTTGTATGAGGTTTTAGTCGTATAAAAATTCAACCCGACCAGGAGCAGAAAACTTGATGGATTATGGGTGGAAGAGGTGCTAAACCGTAACAAAACATCCATATTTGCCACACAAATTTGCATTGTAGAAACAATAGGAGAGCTTGAGAGATAAAGAGATAATGAATTTATGGTTCTTTCACTTTGCAATAAAATCTATCATACCTTTACCTCTTTCAATGTGTGATTTTGTGTGTTGTTCTAAAGATAAGAGCGCACATCTAAACATTTAGAAAAATAAATAAAAAATAAATAAAACATTTTCCCCAGCAGTTTCATAACAGAATCAGTTATGCAAAGTTCTGTTCATGTTCTGAAGTATAAAAGTTGAACGATATATAGTGCTACATCTTCAGCCTCACCACTGGTAAGTCGTCAACATTTATAGTTATCAATTAATAGTACAATTCAGTGAAAGTCTATAGATAGCACTGAGCGACTGTGCTCAAATTTCAGAATAATTCTGTACCGACAGGAAATGGTGGTCTCATTCAATATACCACATAATCATTCAAGGTCATACCATTTTTTACATTGGGAGTTCACGTGAAATGCATACAAAGAATTCTACATTATACAGACTGACAAAAAGCAAAAAAAAAAAATGCATGTCATCTCAGTAGTCAATGGGATCTAACACTAAAATCATAATGCAATTTACACAATATATTAATGAAATGACTCAAATATGGCACAAGATGTTTCGCACATATATATATAGAGATATATATATATAGATATACAGATGAAAACTGAGGAAATATCAAGAATGACCAACACAAAGCTTGCATGGGAAGAAATGAAATTATACCAGTTTTTAAAGGCTGAAAATGTGGTTGATTTCGTTTTCTTGCAATGTAATTTCTAAGTATCCTCTGCAATACATTTATCAAACAACAGCTAAAAAAAAAAAACACAATGACAATAACAAATTTAACAACACTAGGAAAAAAAAAAAGACAATGAACTGTGTACAATGTAAAAAAGAAAAACAAAAGAACTATCCAGCCCCCTGCAGACATATGTGAACAGCTTCAAATATTATTTTTGCACTATATTCCAGCAGCTATTCACATAGGCGCCGAACGTCCTGTCCCACACACCTGCAGGGGTAGAGTATGTCACTGTTCTAGGGTCACCACTTCCACCGCCTGTCCGTCAAGCGTCATCGTGTTGTCGATGCGCGTGGTTATGGGAGCCATGGCCACCTGAACGGGTCGATTTCCCTGGGCCAAACTGGTGACGACAGTCTGATACATGCTGACTGGAATCTGGACAAGACCTGGGATGAGACACAGACCCGTTACAATTTATTCAACACCATTTCTGTTTTAGCTGGCACAACTGTGATGTCATCAGTGTAGGTGGAGGCCTAGTGGTTTGGGACGTTCGTAGTTGTTATTTGAGACAGCTGGAGGGAGGAGACTTTAGAAGTGCGGTCGGATGAGGCCGCAGAGCATGTGCGCAATCGAGCAGCCATGTTAAGAGTTTGCGTGCTACGTGGACAGGGCCGGCCCTAAAAAGCGGGCTGAGGGCAGGGCTACTGCATCACACTGCAATGCGGAACAATGGAATAATTGAGGCGACCGCTCCCAGCTTCCGTTTCTCTCTCTCTCTCAATCTATCTCTCTTTCCATGCCCAGCTGTGAGCGGAGCAGCCTGGATTACTGCTGCAGTCACACAGGGCGAGCGGGCGGGAGGGTGGCCAATCTCTCCGGGCCACAAACTCATATGGGCAAAGTGGAAGGTCAGAACTAAATGTGAATAGTTGACCCATCCAGTAAGTTTTACGGTACCTGTAGGCCACTGTACTTGTGCATTACGTGTTTCTGATATAAGTGTGCCTAAAATAGTCTCATGATGCGCAATCCCGTCCCAGCGTCTCAAGGAAGGGCTCATATTTCAATCAAATTCGCCATTTAGCCTGTCAGTTAGTTTATCTTTTCAAGCCGACACAATTTCCCCAAGCTAAATGTTGCTTATAATCGCAGCTTAACACAAAAGCTGATCAGTTGTGACCTTAAATGTATCTTAAACAGACATGAAGAATTTATGATTTTGTCTTATTGCCCCAGAATCCTTTCATGACCTCTTAAGCCCCATTTATACTTCTGCGTCGAACCTACACATAGACGCACACCCTACGCCGTAGCCTGACGTGCACCTCTCCAAAAATCTTACAGCGCGTCAATTCTATGTGGACCGCAAGCGCTGTGATTGGTCTGCTAGAACCCCTCCCTCCGTATGTACTTGAGTTTTGTGTATGTTTATGTGCACTTTAATATATTTTAATGTTACACCTTCTTATATAAAATAAAACAAAGCAAAGAACAACTGTCTTATTTATTATACTACATAGCATTATACATCAGTAATTGTCCGCGACAAACAATGTTGATCTGCCGTGGTACAAGTCCTTGTGGAATTTGAAAGTATGCCATCTTCTCCTGTTCCATTGTTGTCTCCTTTTTGTAGTTTTAAATAATGATTTAATGATTTGATATTTATTTGCATGTGTACTGCATGTTGACGCGGACAACGACGCAGAAGTATAAATGAAAACTGACGCATAGCCTACGGCATAGGTCCGACGCATATGTATAAATCAGCCTTTAAGGTTAAATTCTCACAAAACCTGTCAAGAAATATTCATCACAAAATACATATAAAAAAATAAAAAGGTAAATAAATAAAAAAGGTAATAAAATGAGGCTCATTTTTAAGGACAACTTTGACACGATAATTAAGCAACCCACCTAATTTGAATTACTATAAATTCAAATAAATATTAATTATACTAATTTAAATGGTAAAGTTCTTATAATAATGTATAAAAAAAAATGACAATTAAGTTTCCTAATCATTGTCATAATTAGAACTAATGAAACAAAATTCATATTATATTAATAATGTAATAATAACGAATAATATAATAAAAATGTATATTATAATAATATAATACATATGATTTAACATT